CTAACCGGTTCGGTGGATTTGACGAACCGGTTCTACCGAATAGGTGCGAACTGGTAGGAACCCACCTCTGCACTGATTATACTATGCAACAAATGCAATCAGTATGGCAATAACAAAGGATTGTTTCTAATAGCAGTTTTCTGCCCTACAGCAAACAGTAGTTCCCTTATCAATTTTTCTGTATGTCAAATTAAGAGAACAATAGTCAATTTGGGTGGGTTTTTTATCCCCCCACCTTGGTATAGTGTTTAAGGCACCAAGTTGGAAACTCACCAGGTGAGTTATAGACCTGCCTTAGGCACAAAACCAGCTGGATGACCTTAGGCCAGTCCTTCTATCTGAACCCATTTCTGAAACCTTGGCAAGAAAACTGCAGGGATTAGTCTAGGCTAGAGGCCTCCAATTTTGGCAACTTTAAGGCCCCAGAATTCTCTTCTGACAGTGAAGCAAAAGCAACCGTGTTGTTTTCACAAGGTTCTCCTTTGGAGCTCCTTCCAACCTCTTTCCTCTGTGTTTGCCAACACGATTCTCAACCAAAGGTTAGGAAACCCTGCTGGGTTGTTCATAGTGTGGGCTGAAATCAGTCTGCCTGGAGCATGGAGTAATGGTGGTGCAGTGGTTAGAATGCAGTACTGCAAGCCACTTCTGCTGATCACCGGCTGCCAGCAGTTTGGCAGTTCCAGTCTAACCAGCTCAAAGTTGACTCAGCCTTCCATTCTTCCAAAGCCAGTAAAATGAGGACTCCGATTGTTGGGGCAACATGCTGACTCTGTAAACTTAGAGAAGGCTGCAAAGCAATGTAAAGCAGCATATAAGTCTAAGTGCTATTGCTAAGTGCTGTCTTCAAGGTTGACCATCAGCATCTCCCAGGAAGAATAGCTCTAGCACATGCTGCAGGCAATTTAGTGTTGTGGCCTGTCAGTAGCTGGCCCCTCCCACAGCCAAATCAGAGGAGGAGGAGGTGTGGGAGTCAGCATCAAAGTAACCTGAGATCTCTGAGGGGGAAGAAACTATGAGCTGGTCCTCGGGATGGAAGAGCCACCACTGCTAGCTAAACTCCATCCTAGCTCTGAGGATAAAAGGCAGAGTGGACGGAGATGAATAGGTGTGGGAGACAACTATTCATCTCCCTGTTGGTCAGCCACTGATAGTCCATATTTATGGATCCTGTCTGGAACAGTATCGGAATTCTTTCTTGGAATCTGTGGCACTGAGAATCGGTTGCAGCTTTGGAGGGTGTCCATGTGTGTGTGTCTCAACTGCTGGAAAAAGAATGAGTGCACTTTCCAGGACTTCCATTACGAATGTGGCAGTGGTGAGTTCCGGATCCCATTCCAACTGGTACAGTTGGAACAGGCCTGGCTTTGTCCACATAGACATGCGCCCGTGCGCAGTGCGCACATGCATCTTGCCGTCCAGGGACACCCCTGCTAGCCTCCGCGACAGCATCACGCAGGCACTGTATGCGCCATGTGCATGCATGGAAGCGCCAAAGACTTTAAAGACAGGTAAGGAGCGTGGGCGGGCAGGTGGGCCCTCTGGAGCACCGGAGCAGAGCGGTACCCGGTAGTCCGGGCAGCCTCCAGTACGCCCGTACTGGGGCATACCGCCTGCAACCCACCACTGGAATGTGGTGAAAGAGAGACTCCTGGTGGATTGGAGCTATTTCAGTGGGAAAGGGAACAAGCTTCAATTTCCATAGGCATAGAGACTTTGTTAGCCTGCTTTGTGTGTGTGTGAGAGAGAGAGACTCTGCCAGGATTGCTGGCACTTGTAATAAAGGGAATGTTAGTAAAAAAAAAAAATAGCATGCTTGTCATGTTTGGGTGACGTGTTAGAGGCCATTGAATCTGAACCACTTTGGCCAGTGCTGAGGCCTTTTATAATAGAGTAATAGATTTGGAAGGGACCTTAGAGGTCCTCTAGTCCAACCCCTGCTTAGGCAGGAAACCCTAAACTACTTCAGACAAATGATTATCCAACATCTACTTTACAACTTCCAGTGTTGGAGCATTCACAACTTCTGGAGGCAAGTTATTCCACTGATCAATTGTTCAGGAAATTTCTCCTCAGTTCTAAGCTGCTTCTCTCCTTGATTTGTTTCCATCCATTGCTTCTACCCTCAGGTTCCTTGGAGAATAGCTTGATTCCCTCTTTTTTTGTGGCAATCCCTGAGATATTGGAACACTGCTATCATGTCTCCCCTGGTCCTTCTTTTCATTAAACTAGACATACCCAGTTCCAGCTACTGTTCTTCATATGTTTTAGTCTCCAGTCCCCTAATCATCTTTGTTGCGCTTCTCTGCACTCTTTCTAGTGCAGAGTGTAGACTTTGTCTGCACATCTTTTTTTACATTGTGGCGACAAAAACTGGATGCGGTATTCCAAGTGTGGCCTTATATTCCAAGGCATTATAAAGTGGTATTAACACTTCACGTGATCTTGATTCTATCCCTCCGTTTATGTAGCCTAGAACTGTGTTGGCTTTTTTGGCAGCTGCTGCACACTGCTGGCTCATATTTAAATGGTTG